GATTGATGCAGGTGGGACAAAGGGGGGGGTTCTCGTTCTCTCTCTCTCTCTCTCTCTCTCTCTCTCTCTCTCTCTCTCTCTCTCTCTCTCTCTTCTCTTCTCTTCTTTCGCCAGGGCTACAGACCAGGGTTGCCCCTCGCCTCTCTCTCTCTCTCTTTCTCTCTCTCTCTCCGGGGCATGGGGACCGGTCAAAGTCCCCGGGCAAAAATGCCCACCCCAACGTTTTGTTGGAGTTTTCGGGGAGTGAGGAACGATCGTAGTTTGTCAAAGGGCTAGAGCTATATAGTGTGGGATGAAGAGCGATGACAAACGTACGATCTCACTGACCTAGGCAATCAGGCTGAAAGTATATCGGTCCTCTTCCACGTTTTTCCTGAAATCCTTACAAGTCGCCCCCGATTTACAAGTCAATTTCGAGGGGTGGATTCAAGAAGCATGGGGAGAATACTACCAAAGCGAAAACAAGCTAATAGATTTCCCCTGTTTGGAAGAGGTAGGCCCGATCGAAATGACAATACATGTTTGGGGGGGGTCCCCCAGGACTGTTGTTGCAGATGAATTTATGAACACGGGCGGCAGGCGGTAGGAAAAGGATGCATTGAATTACTACACTAAAGGCAGGCGTTCGGATCAACATTTAAAAAACTTCTTTGAGTTCTAGGTGCTGCAAGTCGGCAGCTGGCCTAGAAGGTTCCGGGTACCAGGAGCTACAAGTCGGCAGCAACACTGGTAGGAGCACCGTTCGGCTTGGCAAAAGGTCTATGATACAGGTTCCCCCCTAAATCGCGAAATCAGAAAAGGAAATCAACACATGCATGTACTCAACCAGAGGCGCGGTGGACTGTTCAAAATCCCCCAACCTAAGAAAACCAGCAAACCCCCCGAAACCAAAGAAGTAGAACGTCCCCCGCATCTCTTCGCTCGAATTTTCGCGCGCTCACTCGGCTTGCTCAGATCTTCAGCGCTTCCCGCTGCTGCTGGCTGTACCTTTGTCTTTCCCCCACGTTCCTTGCCGTCGGCGGAGTCGGCGCTGCTCTCTGTAAGCCAGCTTGCTTTGGATTTCCCAAGCCTCTTTAACCCTTCCCCCATAAACACGAGGGTGCGAGGAAAGGGCTTCCCCCTGTGCAGTTGGAGTTTCTTGTCGAGCGCGACGGCGAGGCAATGGCTCTCTCTCGTTTTCCCATGGCCAGTTTGGTGCAACGAGGATCTGTTCACCCAGCCATTGCTCACCCTCGCTTGCATCAGTTGTCCCCCTTGGCGCAGAGGTTGGTGAGGGAGGTGTAAGGGGTGTTCGTTCCCCTTCCAGTGCAGAGTGGTCCAGCAAGTTCGCGGCCACTTCTCGGGGTATGTCGGCACTCGGGGGTGTAAAAGGTGACTTTTCCCCCTCTTCTGTGTTGAGCCATTCGGGTGTAGAAAGCTCGACAATCTCCTCCGAATAGTCCTCGGACCCTCCAGCGGCTGGGGGCTGGTCCCCCCACTTGTTGCGGCAAGCTTTGTGGACTTTGTCAATACACCTGGTGTCTTTGGCCACTCCCCCTAAACTTCCTCAAGAATCGGAGGACTTCAAGCGCCTTCCTGTAGAGCAGTTTGTTTTGAACTCGATCGGCATGTTCCCCCTGTAGTTGGTCCTCCTCCGCGTCGGTGTGGTGGCGTGCTAGTGCTTGGTCGTAGTGTCGCTTTCTTTGCGGGGACCAGCGGAGAGGCCTCCGTCGCCACACCACTTCAACCTTGAGGAGCTCACGAAGTTTTGCTCGCAGTTTGGGACCATCCCACTTTGGTCCCCCCGTCTTCTGGCAGTTTTCCTCCGACCTCGTGGTCCTCCCCCGCGAGGGGGGTTGCTGGCTGCAGTGGGTACTGGTGCACGATCTTCACGTCCCTGGTCTGGTCTCTCCCCCTGGCTCGGTGTTCGCCGTGAACGGGTAGGGCTGTGTCCCCCACCTACGACTCCATGTAACCTGCAGCGAGGTCGCTGCGATCATGTGTTTTGCGAAAGCCCAAGGTACAAACGCCTTCTGCTTCACGACAGAGGCGACAAACTCCTTTCCCCCTCTTCACGGGTGGGACCGCTCGTCCCCCTCTATCAGGCTGGTTCGCCTCTTCCCCTGTCTGTGCGGCTGGGGGGTCTCGGGAGCTCGCCATAGATGCAGAAGATCGCGATGTGGTAGTACAGCGGGTTTTGGTCGGGAACCAAGAGGTCAAAGTATGCTCTATCCCCCTACTGGCAGGCCACCCCCGAAGGGGGCTGCGGTCAGGTTCACGAGGAAGCTCAAAACCCCAGGGGCCTTCTTTTTCTCCCTCTCTCTCTCTCTCTCTCTCTCTTTCTCTCTCTCTCTACCTACCAGGCAGGAGGAACGGGGCGGACAACCCCTCCCTTCGCGTGCGAGCGCGCACCTGCGGTCCTCGGCAAGTTTTTAACTTCCTGGTGGGGGGTTCGCCCCCCCAGGCTCGGCTTTACAGCTCCCTCTCTCTCTCTGTCTCTCTTTGCTTGCTTTGCTTTGCTTGGGGGTTGAGCTCTGTATCTCTCTCTCTCTCCCTCTATCTATATCTATCCATCCATCCATCCATCCATCCATCCATCCATCTATCTATACATACATATATATATATATTTATATATATTTATATATTTATTTATTTATTTATTTATCTATCTATCTATCTTTCTTTCTTTCTTTCGTTAGGGTATCTATCTATCTATCTCTCTCTCTCTCTCTCCCTCTTTCTCTTTCTTTTTCTCTCTGGTGACATGCATGATGGCGACGACGACAAGGATGGCGATCACGATGACGATAAGGACCACGATGAGGATGAGGAGGCGAGCAGGAGGAGGGGACGGAGGAGGAGGAGGAGGACTCCGGAGTCAAGGGGCGGGGTGTCTTTGTCTGGTGCTGCCTGTTTGCCTTCAGCAGAACGGATCCTGTATCCCGCATTGAGCTCAAGCATTCTTTATCAGGGCATCTCCTACAACTCTCTTCAGCTGCAGTCTTTTGCTTGCCTCATGCTTGGCAGACAGCTCACACAAAAAATGGCTTTCAAACCAGCGCTCTGCAGGCAAGCATCCACGTCTGTTGCGTTCTCGAGGGTCTGCCCTTGCTCCCAGGAGGAAGGCAGCTAGGTTGGCACTGCCCCAGAAACATGCATGGCCCAGTGCAGTGCTGCTGCTCTCCGCCAGATACCTTACAGCTATAGGAGGCTCCCCCACTACGGCCCATGCTCTGCAGGCCAGCTCCATGGACCTCTCCCTGCCGGAGCTCTGTGGACTTGCATTTACCTCGGCTCTACCCGACAGCAGCAGCTGCGCAAGCTGCACTGCGTGGGGCCGCATGGTTCCAGCCATTGCCAAACAGCAAAGCTCTGCCCGGTGGACGTGGGCTCTGCATTCTATCAATGCTGCAACTGCCTCCGTCTCGTTGAAGCGGGCACAACTGCCCTGCAAGGCCGTTTTGAAGCTTGGAGCCCGACGAAGGTTCACGTCGGCTCGAAAATGCACCAGCATCTCTACAGCCCTTCCAGAACTGCAGGCTGCTAGAACCGAGATGCCGGCTGCATCTGTCGTATTGGGGTTTGCACGCATTGTCAGGAGCTGTTCGAGAGGGGCGGGGTCCTGGCAGCTGGCGGCAAGGTGCAGAGGAGTCCAGCCCGGAGAAATCCCAACATCTGTCATAGCATCCAGCCGCTTTTGGAAGGAAGACCCCGCACGGAGCAGCCATCCCAGCATCTTCACATCTTTGGAGAGCACCGCACATGCGACAGCGCTCATGGAGAAAGTGTTCTCGTCAACAGCCTGTTCCCTGGAGCCAAATCCGAAGTGGGAAGCAAAAGAACTGGGATTTCGCTTCGCAGGAGGCAGGCCCAGAATGTCTTCAAATCTGGCTTTGAAGTACCGGCAGGTGTCAACAGCAGCGGTTCTCATCTCAAGTTGGCCAATCTTGTTGCGGAGCGCAATTCGGATAAACTTGTTGACCTCTATCCGATCTGCAGGCACGCTGAACTTTCCGGTGTGTGGGGGGTACTGCAAGCACTGCGATGGCATCGCAAAAATTGCGTGGTCATAATCCAAGATCACAATAATCGGGCTGGTGGGTCGATCACATAAAAGCCTGCACCACATCTCTGCGCGGCACCACCCCCTGTCCTTGGCGTCGCATTCGCATTCGCATACGCATATTGTCGAAACTTTCCCTCTAAGCTTTCGGGTTTTTAGGAATTTAGGATGATTTAGGGGCTGTTACAGTCTCCAAAGTCCTAGACAACACTGTCTGCAGTGGAAAGGAGCAACATGTTACCAAGCCGAGTCCGGTGGCGATCCAAGAAACGAAGTTACAATCCAAGCCCGTGTCAAAGTGAGGAATTGTCGGCACCAAGGCCACGAAAAAGTCACAAGCATCAACGAAGGAAGGTATTGACTGCACCGCCAGGGCGAAGTTGTAAGTATCTCCCTGCTGCGGAATCGAAAACCAGTCAAACCAAACATATGAACCACGCATCTTGCTGACCTCTGACGGTGACAGCCCGTGCTGCCAGGCGCCCATTACTACACCTGTGTCAGCACTTCCTGGTGCAAGCTTCAAGCTGCCACTCAGAATGTTTGCAATGCAAGTGCGTAATGTACGGAACTGATTGCCAGCATGATCCGGATGTGCTGCACCCAGCCACTGATGCGACACGAAGATGGTAGAGAAATGTGGCTCATGCAGCACGAGCACACCAGCTTTCTGCAACTCCTCGTGTACTGGAGGAGGCCCCTCTGGCATGTTTAGAATGTCGGTCAGCTTCACCACCCACATGGGATGCAGGTCTGCATAGTTGTGACTCATAGCTGGTAGAAGCCCGCCGGCTCAGCCTCGCTAATGTTGTAACATCTGCTGAGCCAAGACAGGGCACATTCCGAAAGCATTCACGGCATTGCGATACCAATCAGGAAAGGCTTGCAGAAGCGAAAGCTAGGAAAAAATCAAACAGGGCGGGTGTTCGTTGCAACAGTTCTCGAGCTGTGTCTCGGCAGGCACTCGAATGTGTCGATGCCGCTAGCGGTGGCTTCTGCAATTCTTTCACATCCCGGTCTGCAGTCCTTCCTCACCACTGGCCCATGCACTGATAACCGGCTTCAGGAGCCCGGTGCCGTACCTTCTCTTAGCTTGCCGAAAAGACAGCCACTCACAAACATCTTCGGAATAATGGAAGCGCACACAGGTGCGACTTTCCACGTCATGTCCGCCGCCTCGTCTTGCACCTGAGAGTGTGGTTTGCCCCGGTGCGGAGTGACACATACGAGGACACATGCCTCTCACGAGAATCAGAAAACCCACGATTACAATCTATGCATGATCGCAGTTCTTCGTCGTGACTGCTGCCATAAGAATGCGACGGCTTTCGCGTTGCGGACAGCCTTGTGGCCGACGCAAAGGAGCACTAGGCTCAGCGACTCAAGCGACTCCCTTTGGGTGCCTCTTCAGGGGCCACCTCCCCAGCTAGAAGCAGCACCGCTCCGGTGGCTGGAGGCAGCGTCCTCGCATTTGGCCCAAAGAGGACGCATCTCAAACGGACCCCGCCATACGAATCTCAGGCACGTGCCGCGTTAGCGTGCGGACCTGAAACTTAAGACTTAAGGAAAGCTTTGGGACTGGGACTCTGGTAAAACTCTTTTTCACTTGCGGCAAGAAACGGCTCGGCAGTCCACAGAGGCGTATAGCGGTGCAGAGGGCTGGAACGTTACCCCTGATAAAAACTCCGAGCCGAGCTGCTGTATATCTGGCCACCTGGTCGCTCAATGGGACCATGGCATCCGGGCCTGCAACAGGGGTCTGAAGGGAGGTTGGGCTGTGAAAGGCGGTCTATTTTTGGCCCTGAGGCTTCTTCGAAGGAGAAAAAAATTCTGTAAGTGCCACAGACTGGGAGAGTCAAACGACAACGGGACCTGCCAAGTCTGATCTCTTCGCCTACAGAGGTCCGGAAGATGCTCACCACACACCAAGTGTGCATATCTCTCCCAGAGTTGGAAGTCCCAGAGGTCTTGAACCCATCTCCCAAGTTTGTGTATACCGGGAGCCAGAAGAACATTCTTGTTTCGAGTTCATGCATTTTGGGTGACAGACCTTTAATCTAACAAACCTTTTGAAGACCTCGACAACATTTCCAGCGTTTATCTCGGAGCTTGCATCCTCTGATTCGAAGCTAAGCGTTTCTCGACGATGACAGCACAGTCTTGTACGGTCTGTCGGCTTTGTCGCAACGAATGCCAGCCTATGTGAACTTATAATTTGGTCACTCATCGTCATCATCACCGCCAGCACCCACTATAAGGGAATGCCTCGTGTCGTGAGTGATGGGTTGCCTCGCACGGGATTCAGTCCTGTATCATTATAGCCTTGGCTCCCGAGCCAACTATGCTTGCCACCAAGGCCACCATGCACACGCACCCCTTGTAGGGCGGCATGCTGTCACGCAGTAGAGGCTGTTTTCCGCACGTGCAGACGAAGATGTCCGAGAAAGATTTTCGTGCGTGGCACCATCGGGTAGATCAAATCAACACAACCACGCAAACGGGCCGCCCGTTTAAGCCTGAGTGGTTGAGTTTGTGCGCATCATATTCGCCAACTCCAACAACAACCTGTGGTTAGAGCCTCCAACGGCACTTATTCCATGCCGCATCCTAGTGCCAACACCAAACAGCCGATGTGCCTGCTGCGCAGGTGTCGATCGTGAAAGCAACCGCTTCCAAGTTAACATCCTGGCTCACATGTAGCTGCACCACAAGCACAGATCAAGCAACGCACTGTTCTGAGACTGTGGCATACTCGTTCATGTTGCGCACGACGTTGCTGTAGAACTGGCCGGGTTGCGCAAACGGGGATCAATTTTACAAGGTTTTTTTGCCTGGCATGTTGGACTGCGACGATGAAGCATCCCGCTTGCACGCACCAGAAGACCGCAGAAGACCTTGTTTTCTTCTTTCTGCGCTCTTCGTTCCGATGTCGAGCACGTCGACTTTGCGGTCCGTACTGGGGTCCGTGTCTCTGACACAAGTGATCTTCCGCGTGGAATTCGCCATGTCCTTCGTCACGTGGGTTTTGGCTTCCAGGGATTCCTGCACAGCGCAAGCAAAATCTGAAGAGATCGAATCCGCAAACCGACTGAGCACGTATTCAGTGAAGAGGGCCTCTTCTTTTGCTTGGTCTTGCCTCGGCTTCTGCTGCTTGTCTGAATTGGATGCTGTGGGGCGAGCCGAACCCTCTTGCTGCTGAAAAGCCTGTTCTTCGCAGAACAGCAGAGCCCACCACAGACTTCAAGTTCAGGTGGCCCTGCAGGGTACGCAAATGCAGCAAGCACCACCAGCACACGACAACTCCAGCATTCTCAAACAACCAACAGGGCCATCGTGAGGAGGACGAGCCACCACAAGCACCACGATCCTGTCCCAACCGCAACCGCAACCACGACAACCATGGCCACCATAACAGACACAACCAGACATCCACCCCACCACACCCCACCTACGACTTCACCTCCACTACTACAGGACCAGTCCTCCTCTTGGACCCCAAAAACTGTTTTCTAGAACGGCACCGACACTTGCCTCGGCGACGCCTTGGGTCCAACGAATAGGAGGTTGACCCACTGAATCTCGGTAATGTTCAAGTCCGGAGCAACGGGTACGATCACGGGTCTCACATGCTGCTCTGCAGAATCACCAGCTGCAGGCTATGTACAGGTTTGGCCTTCGTCGATGTTTCAAGCTACAGTGCCGGTTCTGTTTAAGAAAACACTGGCTAAGAAACCCAGTGCTCTGGATTTTCCAGATATATGCATTTTCACTGCCCCCCTAACTAAGAAAATGAGTGCCCTCCGACGTTCGGACCCTGTTTTCTTAACTGTGTGCTTGTCCGGGGCTCTGATTTTCTGGTTTGGGCCCGCCCAGACCCCAATGCTCCAAATCCATCCGTTAATAAGGTTAAGAAAATGAGTACTCATTTCCTTAGCACCCTTTTCCACATGGATTTGCCCCCCCCCCCAGACCCCAACTGCTCCAAATCCATCTGTAAATACGGTTAAGAAAATGAGTCTTCATTTCCTGAATCATATTGCTGGCTGGATTTAACCCTGCCCCATCCCCAGGTCCAAATCCAGCCGCAAATACGGTTAAGAAAATGAGTACTCATTCTCTTAATCATATTGTTGACTTTATTTGACCCCACCCCACCCCCCAGGTCCAAATCCCGCCGCAAAAACGGTTAAGAAAATGAGCACTCATGTTCTTCATCATATTGTTGGCTGGATTTGCCCCCGCCCCATCCCCCAGGTCCAAATCAAGCCGCAAATACGGTTAAGAAAATGAGTACTCGTTTTCTTGACACTGTCTCCACGTGGATTTGCGCCCCCCCCTCCCCCCAGCGCCCCAATGCTCCATAAGGAATCAGTTCGCCAGCGTCAGAGGCATGGGAAACGATCTCCATGTAAGACATTGCGGCTTCCCACTACAAGGAAGGCAGGTGGAATGTTGGAGGTGTTAGCAGCTAGCACTGCTCCCTGCAAATGCTTGCTAAGAAAATATTAAGAAAATGAGTGGGCACTGGATTTCTGAGAGCCACATTCTCATGGAAGAGCAAGCTAAGAAAATGAGTGACCTCTGAGCTCACTGATTTGTTTTCTTACCCAACGCTTGCACTGTACCTCCCGCAGCACTGTCAACTGTACTGAACCGAACCACTGCCTCTGAAACAAGCGACGAGAAGAATTCAGGCGGACAAGAGGTGCGGGACCGTCCACAACTCGTTGAAGGTGTGTTCAGGGTCCGTTGACTGACTAGCGGAGCAGCCAACAGCACCGGACAGAGCTTGGAAGCATTGCGCACATCAAGCGCTGTTCTGTTTCAATTCATTTTGCTGTCTTTCTTGAAGTCCGTTGGCACTTAACGGATGCAACTTCAAAAGATGCTTGGGATTGACACTTCTGCAGGCGCCACCGGCAGAAGCAGATGTGAAGTGGAGTTTTGGGCTTCTGCTTCTCACAGCCTCAGCACCTCCCCCAGCGGGAAAGACAATCGCTCGGAGAACTTAGCACTGGCAAATGCATCCTTAAGCCCAGACCCTGGTGCTCTGCCTCCTGCATTAGAAGCTGCGCAATCCCATCCTTCATTTGGCGGCATGCGACAGGGCCTGGCTCGCTTCTTCTGGTGGATTCCGAGCCCAAAATGCAGAACGAGTGTACAGTGTACGGTCTTCTGAGGCCTTCCTCAAGAAGAAGAGTGGAGATCTGCACCACCTCCCGAGAAGAATCGCTCCGACGCAGCATGAGTGGTTGGACTGGCTACAGGAATGCGGCAGCATGCAGAAGAGCTGCAGTGGCACCAGCTTCCACCTTGCTTGCAAACTCGCGGATGGTCCATGTACAGCAACTTCCAAGTGTTGATTCCTGCTTAAGTGCACTGATTGCAAGTCCTTTACAAAGGATTCACGTGCGGCTAGCCATGATTCTTTGGCAAAGCCCGGATCAGCTAGCAATCCTAGACGCGGGGCTCTGCATGCAGATGTTCTACAGCGAGCGCCGCTTTTCTGTTGGTAGGAATCTGCGATGACTCTGGACCGAGCCGGTTCCGACTACGTCAGAACATGAGATTCCATCCGCCTGCTGCCACGAGAACAACTTTTTATGATACGGAAATTCATGCACACGATATGGTGTAGGAAAATAGTTTGACGGTTTGACCTAGACCCAAAACTGCAATGGACCGAATCATTCGGCTATCGAGTCATACTTGTCGGAGTGGCAGTCGTAGTCGTCGCAGTGCTTGTAGTGCTTGTGGTGGTGGTGGCGGTGGTGGTGGTGTGTGGCTTGGCTGTTGCGAACTGCTTGCTCTCGAACCCAAAAGCCCTGACCTTGTCGGCCCTCCGTACTTTGCGCCGCCTTACTTCTTCTGGCTTCGTCTCGTCTGCGAATCATCAATCTCGAGGGTTCCGATGCCATTTTCGTTCGGGGTGTAGCTTGGAGTTCGGCGGTGCGGATCGATACACGCGAGCGCGTCGAGCTGAAACTGACAGGTCAGACCAAGGCACCGCGTCGAGCGCGTCCCTGGCATTGCGCAGCCCGCCGCTGGCAATGATCGCGATGTCTCCCTGATGGCAGACTAGGTGAACTTGTGTGAATATAGCGTTTGTGGCCACTGCGAACACGCCCAGGTAGAAAAAGTGAACTCGTCAACGAACGCACTAAGACTTCCAGAGCCGCCCCTGGCATTGAGCTGCGGGCCTGGGTTTTCTCGAAGGCCTCAGAAATCAGTTCACGCTGGAGTCGGCGCGACTCCTGGAAGGCTCGGAATGGCAAAGAGTGGCAGAATTCACATTGACACTCACATCATGTCATATCATGTCGCGTCACGTGATGTCATATCATGAGTATCGGCCTTCGTGCCCTGGCAACCGTAGGCTGCATCATCATGACCTTGCAAGCACGAAGGCATGGCGGCCGGTTGCATCTGCTTCCGTCGGGCTTTCCCCGAGAGTGCCGGGTGTTGGTAGCGTTCACGCATCTTTTCGTCTTGCCTTCTCTTGGCCAAGAACCTCTGCTTCTAAGTCAAGAACGAAAGCCCATCGTCACTTTGGGAGGACTTTCAACTCTTGAAAACGCCAGGCTCTTCGATTCCGACTGCATCCTCAAATGAGTTGGAATCGTAGGCAAATCTCACCTTGGCAGAAGAATCATAATGCTACCCCGGTTTGACCTGAAACGCAATGCCAGGTCGGACTGTCAGGGACGAAATCAATCTTCGCAAAAGTCACTGTGGGAGCCGCTTTCGCGTCGGCACCCCGTCGCAAACCTCTGACAATGGCCGTTGCCACGTCGAGCTTGGAACTCTCCGGGTGCATGTAGACGCCACCAGATACCAAACCTTGGCTGCAGGAAAAGTCGACATATGACCGAATTGCACAGACATGGAAAATCATAGTTCTTGGCTCTCAGATGTGATCCGATCTTCAGTCTGGTGTCAGAACTGAACTTCTTGGATTCTGGGCAGCGTCTCCTCCGAAGGACTGTCAGACTTCAGAAGGATAAATCGTGAGTCCTTAACCCCGCCTCGTCGTCGAGAAGTGAATTATATTCCGCCACTGCCAGCAGCGCGTTGGCAGCCATCTCTTCAACGCTCTGCAGGAATGCCGCATTGGAGTCCACCGTGGGGCCTTGTCCCCCTGTAGCTCCTGTGCCTCCATCTTAGCTTGAAGTGACTGGGCCCTAGGCGGGAACTGACAGAAAGCTCGGACCCACCTTTCGGGCCCACCACGTACAGCATCGCCACGTTCTTTATGCCTCGAAACCCGAGCACGAAAGTCTTGCTGTAGAATTGGGGTGACACTTCGTGGTGCCGTGAGGATTCTTAGGGTTCGGACTGCGTGGGCGATGCTCAGGTCCCAAAACATCCAGAAATGCTGCTCCAACGACAGCATCGGGGCCGTTGACAGCGGGTACGCGAGCCTAGATGGCGAGGGCGTCACTGCCCTCACATGAAAAATTAGACCTTCCAGTAACTTATCGTAATCTTGATTGTAACTCTTATAATGACTTGAAATTACTCTTAGGATCTCTTAGGTATGCGCCAAGAAGCGAAGGACGCCATCAGGCCCAGCTCCGCCAGAAAAGCGTCCTGGGAGAAAAGCAGAACGCACTAACCGCTAGGGTGGGTTCAGGGTTCCTCGGCAAAGTTCTGTGTCCAACCTGCCCCTTTTCATGCAAGAATTCACTACCCACCATGAAGCTGCCGAGCCTAGTAGCCGAAGCCCAAGCCAGACGAGCGTCAACTTCCTCACCTGGCAGCGCCGAGCTGGCAACCAGCTGGCCAGGTGTGCTGGAAGCGGCCTTCAACATCGCCTGCAAAGCTCCGCACGCAAAACCCCTAACCGGCCCTAACCCTGAGCCTTGTGCTCTCGGCTACATCGGGGTCTGGAGGTGCCCTCGCTTCCGCCTTGTGCAAGTCTTGGTACGTGTTCGATCGGGGAAGACCCAGCTCCTTTAAGAAGACAAGGTTGATAGCGCCACCCCCAACATACCTCGTAGACTTTCGCAAGAGATGCTCACGAACTCAAATGCTGACCGAATGATCTCGCAAGAACCCCACTTCACCTCCAAGATGCAAATTGTAGTCACCAGCATTTACAGACGCGGTGTTCGTGCCGGGATCATCGTAGAAGACTGGTGTGTAGCCTCAGAAGCAATGATACTGTGCGCAAACTGTCTGCACTTGTGTGCAGAAGAGCGCGCCTTTTGCAGGACGGCCGCAGAAGTTGATGCGCAAGCTGCCTGGAGATGTGGCGTGGCCTGTGCCGAGGCACGTAAGCCCCTTGAAGGCCCCCTTTATGTAGAAAACCGCTCACCCAAGCCTTCCTCACAGGCCAAGCACCGCAGCTGGCCGCCTCGAGCCCACTTCCTCCGTCGCTGACATGTACCAGCTCGAGTTTCGAGTGCTCCTACTAGTAGAGTGAGCCAAATACTTGCTCCAAGTCGCACATCCTTCTCGCCGACGAAAGCCGGAGACAAAGCCAACGGAGCAGCTGCGAGTGTAGCCAATGCCAGGCAGGGCAAGTAAGCTCTCGCGGTCCTGATCACGGTTTTTTTGCTTCAACGAAACATGCGAAGCTAACTTGCTATCACAGCAGACCTGATGCTTCGCTGGCGTGGCTCTCCCAAAAGACACTTCTGTCGAGCAGATCGCACCAGACCCAGCAGCATGGCACAGCAAGAAAGAGGGGTTTCCACCTTTTGCCAACATCTAAAGCGCTGCCTGAGGACTTCGGACTAAAGTCTTTATGCGAAGAATCTTGATGGATTTGTAGCGTCAAGATGCGAGTCGCGCAGTCATTCCATGGATTGCATGGCTGGTGTGGCTGATTTGCTGCGGATTCCTGCGAGCCTCTTGCACACCCATGGAAGAACGACAGGAGACCCACGAAGAATGTTTGATTGTCTGCATGTCTCGCGCTTGGCAGCCCGCAGACGATGATCCCCGCGGCTTCACTGCGTCGGGCCGCTTGGGCAACCTCGCCTGCTGCACGGCGCTGCTCCTCCCAAGAAAGCACTTTGCAGAGCTGCCAAAAGTTCTGTCCAGGATGTGCCTCTCGGCTTGCAGAGGCATCTGGCCAGCTCGCAGGAAGCCTGCGCAAGTTTGTCACAGAGGTGACATGCTGGACATCGCATGCTGGAACCTCAGGAAGATGCGGGGCCCACCCCCTGGCAGCTGCATCGCTTTGAGCACCAGCTCTTTCGCGATCTTCGCCACCTCACCTCTCTGCCCTGCGGGTATAGATGCCAGGTCCACGACGAAGAGCTGGAGATGGGGGCCCAGTGAAGACAGAATTGAGAACAGCTCCTGAACAGCGGACACCAAGCCCGGCGCTCCCTGAAACTCCCTTCTCAAGCAAGGGTCCTCTTGGCTGCCTCCCACAGAAGCACCCACCAGTCCAAACTGCGCAATCTGATGACTGGCGTCTCGACGTTCGAGGTTTCGCAGCACCGTCTCTGCTTTCGCCCCGCCCGCACCGACTGGACCGACCTGGTCAGGCCACAATGTGCAACCCAACTTCGATGAGAAAACCGTTGCCTCTAGATGGGTCTTGCCTCCACAAATCCGAAGCCCAAGTCAAGAAAGGCAGGTACGCCCTGCGCCAGAGTGTCAATGCCAGGACCAAGGCCAACAGGTGTGTAGAACTTCAGCCCCTCGTGCGGCTCAATTACCAGGTAGGGGTCGTCCTGCGGTGCATGAAAGGGCTCCCTTTAGGGTCCATCTGCTAGAGCAAGATACCATCATGAGAACCCTCGATAAGCAAATATCGGAGATCTTCAGTGCTGGATTGAGAAAGGAACTGGGTGCCTTGTCCAGGTCCCTGGGCAGCAATCTCCAGGATGCTGCTTTCACCAGAGCTCTACTTGCCCCTTCCTCTCCAAGCTTCCCTCAGCCCGAGACAGAGGCAGGCAGCCCTCAGGCAGGCAGCACATTCTATAGAAGCAGCAGTCTGAAGGCAAGACTCTGAAAAGAATCGCCCACAATCCCTGCGGGGAGCTGGACACATCGTCGAGGCAGTAAAACCTTGCTGCAGCTTTGAATGCTCAGCTTCACGAAAAAGCGAGCTGAAAGCCAAAACGGTGGGAACAAGGAGTGCTTCGTTCTCAAAGAGCTGCAGCCAAAGGATGCCACCTGCACAGGTGGCACCCATCAAGGCCCCAGTGCTGGAGTTCAGGATCCCCCAGATGCCAGACTGCTTGGCGTCTTCTTGGGCTCGTCGCCGCTCCTCAGCCAAGCGTCGTGACAAGTTCTGGGCGTACTGCGTACGTGAGCACAAGCGGGGCAGGCAAAAGTCAAGGCACATACTCGTCCATGATTTTTCGGAGGTTGTCGGGCATTTCCGGCGGAGTTCCAGCAGCTGACTGAGTCCAGCGGTGCGAACTGAAGCGCGTGGTGGCGGCACTTCTTCCGGAGACCTCTGACGCAAGCTTGCTTTGCCTCTTGACAACATACCTGCTTCTGCCTCTGGGCCTGGTAGATCCATCTCTGCATGTGCCATGTGCTTCGCAGCGCCGGGCCCAATCGCAACATGGGGATGCTAGGAAGACGTCGTGTGCGCAGTGCTCCGTACCGAAAACGAAGGGAAGCTGTCTCTTTGTGCCTAGCCTGGAAGACAGTCACAATCTCAGGAGAATATTATTTTATGGTTCCTGGCTCTTTCTTGCATGGGACTGAAAAGCGGGTGCCAGCATAACATCCTACGACATGCCCACCAGACCTACATCAATAGCAAGGTCTCGCTGCCTGCGTTGGCGCTCTCGGCATCTCGTGCTTGCGATGTAGTATTATATTATAGTATATTGCATTATAATGTACTATAGTGTATTGTAATGCATTATATTGTCATATATTGTATTATATTGTATTATATGTAAGGCTTGTGACGCATCAGACACCGCTGGCCTTTTCACAGACATAGGCCGTTCTCTCTATCGAGTGGCTCCTGCAGGCAGACGGCGGGACTTGAGGCTCAGTGGAACGCCGGCTTCCGGCTTGCCCTGTGTTCTGCGATGTCTGAATCTCCGCAATGAACGCCAAGCCATTAGCCTGGCATTCAGATCTTGCCGCAAACAAGGGGAGTTTAACATCCCCACCCCCTTCGCTTCGCCTGACAGATGCGTGCTGCACGAGCAACGCAGTCCGAGTTTTCCCAGACTGCCACGTCTGTCGGCATCTCGAGGTTGCACTGGCAGAGCTCAGCCACTTCGAGCCGTTTTGCGCACTTCAATGCCGTCACACAGTGGCCTCCAGTTGCGTGCGCCACTTAGCAATGCGGACTCCTGATTTGTAGTAGTCCTGTCCGGGCTATAGGGCGAAAGAAACCTGTCATATTCATAACTCATAATCCACATAGGACATATCGGGCCTCGCAACGTTCTTTCAGAAGCACCTGCAGCATCCACAACCACACGGCTTGATGACATAAGTGCACCACGCAAGACCGGTCGAGGCCAAGACGATCCCTTCGGTGCCCTTTTCTCCAAAGCTGTTCAACCTCGTCGAGGAATGCAGACAACAACGGTCGGTGTCTGCTCACAGTTTGCCGCCAGGTTGAAAACAAACAGTATGACTGAGCTCTTTGCGGCACGAACCCCTGATCGACTCGCATCTGGCATTTCAAGGTGCACAAGGCTCGCAAGAGATGCATGCGTGAGATGATGCTTCCTGAAACTGCCCCACTGCGTCATGTCGCGCATCCCTTCGGCCTCCTCTTGCCCAAGCATTGTCATTATCACCAGGACTTACTGGGGCGTAGAAAAAGACTGCTCGACATCAGTCATTCGCCGCGGTCTTTGACTGCAGAAATGCAGGGGTTGTGCCCGACTTTGGGCGACAAAGCAATTGAAATCAAATTCAGTCTGAGACTAAGGTGTTGTTCATGCTGAACTACACCAGATGATGATTCAAGACATCACCCATCATCCCCATCATTAATATTGACGGCAACTGCCATGTGACCGTTGAAAGTTTGTCGCCAGTGGAATCCACGGCCCTTCTCGGAACAGGACATCCCTGCAAAACAAAGAGCGTACGGGGTTTTCTCTTCTCCCTGGCTACCTGGCTGCTCAAAAAGATGTCCTCAAAAAATGCAGTCTCGGTATCTGTCCGCTGCTTCAATTGTTCGTGCACACATTTCCTGTATTCAAGACCCAGAAAGTAGCAGTTGTTTACACAACGTATGTCTCTCGACCTGATTCTATCATGCCCATGAAGCCCGGTGCGAGCTACTGGCCAGAAACATGCAGGGCCGGCCGCCGGAACGACCTCAGGGTTGGTTTTCAGTGTGTCACAGTGCCACATTGAAGTAGTGGACAAACAACAGGCACTCTGCCACCTGAGCATGCTGCGCCCTGGTCTGAGAGAATCAGTGGAAGCGACCTGTGGCGGAATCAGAGGCAGCAAGGCTCGTGGCCACCCGTGCCCTGCCTCGAATCCTTGTCAGTATACTTGAGGGCTTCCTCTTCCATAACAACAGCGGAGCAGTACCTTTTGTGCTTAGGCACACAGCAAAGACCAAAGCTGGCACTCTGCATGCGCACGGTTGCAAGCCATTTGTATAGCAGAACTCTCGCCACCTCTGCCTGCTCTCCTGACGCGCGCTTTTTTTTGGCCGTCCCACATCTGCAAATCTCAACCTCGTTGGGCTCCATCCCAGCTGCCTCCAAGCCTCTCCAACGGTCACTGAGATTTTGGCACAGGCCTGGCACTGAGGAGCAGGCAGGACATGAGCTCTCTTCCGGCCCCTTCAGCCTGACAAGGAGACGAGACTGCACAGCCGTTCCAACCTAGCCGACACATGAAGTCCTAGGGCCCAGGCATCCAAAATGCCGAGGCCGTTCTCAGCAAGACCTTTGATATTGGCCTGCGACCACACATCGTCTGATGGGCTGTCAGTTGAGCACGTATGTATCTATCTATCTATCTATCTATCTATCTATCTATCTATCTATCTATATATGTAAGTATATGGGTATGTATGTATGTATGTATGCATGCATGTATATATATATACACACAACTATATATAATATAATATAATATAATATAATATAATATAATATAAT